TTTGGGGTTTGGCCCTAAACCCTAAACCCTAAACGGGCTGCAGTTTAGTACTTTGGGGTTCAGGGTTGAGGGGCTTTTGCAGGGACAGTCGGAGTTCTGTCAGGCCCCGGCCTGAGCCCCCCTGAACTTCAACACCTTAGTCCTAACTGGGTGTAATATACCCCACCCAAACCCTCCATGCCCCCCAAGCTCTAAGCCCTAAACCCTAAACCCTAACCCCTAACCCCTACAGCCCTAAACTCTAAGCCCTACATCCTGAAGTTCTGAAGCCCCAAAGTGTCGAATTCACAAGGCCGGTGCTCACCCCGATGTTGCAATCAAAACTCTTCCGCGGCACTGCGGCCGCGCAGACGTGTAAAGCCAGTCAGGACCCTACAAAGTATGATAGGAGTCGGAAGAATTCGTCGTCGTCGTAGTCGCCGTCGTCGCCCTTGATATAGTCCCCAACATAATGAACATGCCAGACTCTGCCCCAAAACAACACTGAGCCTAAGTGTTTTCGGCCGTGGCAGCCTGAGGCTTTCGTCGACCGCGCATCCTTTCCGGGCTTCCTGCACGAGGACGAATTCCTTTGCCAGCCTGGCGGAGTTATGAAATGTTGATACCTCTTACCGTGCTTACAGTTTGGAAATGAGGAAGTCAGGCTTCCGGGGATTTGGAGAAAAGACTTGGGACGCTTGAACCTCCAAGCCCAACCTCTAAATCTGCGTTTGTTGGGTTGCAGGTTTGCATTTGACGTTTGAGGTTTCGGGTTCGGGGTGCCGCGGCAAGGGTATGGCCGCAAGGTTTGGAATCAGCAGCATGAACTCCGATCATTTCGCACAGGCACAGGGACAGGCCCAGCATTTCGTCGTGGGACCATGCCACTGCGGAGGTATGAAGGATTCTCGGATAGTACTTAGGGCTCCCTATGAAAAACGTAGCAGTACATGCTAACCAGTCGTCTTCATCATCATCATCATCGTCATCGTCATCATCATCATCATCATCATCAAGAAGAAGAAGAATATTGTCACTCCCAGTGCGCCCTAGCCTGATTACTCAGGGCTCTTTGCTACCTTTTGAGCCTTCATGTGACATCCTCGACATCAGAGGCCTGAAGGGCGTCGCCACCAGTGGGCGTGGACTCATATGGAAGTTCTTCATACTCTGGTGCCTTGTTTGGACCCCCCTCCCAGAAAGTTGCCTTAGAGCGAAGAACTGCCTACTTTAAAGTAACGCAAGCCGGCGAGTCATGACCTGCCCATCCTTCATATTCCAGATAAGGCATCTTGTCGCTTTCACGTGGGAGCAAAGCCACTCCACCAGAAGGTTCCACATCCCATACCCTAGACTAAAAGCTTCAAGCAGAGGGGTGAGGGTTAATCAATTGGCATCCTCCCCCCCGGCCCCTTCTGGACCACATTTCCGAAGCTGCTTCGTCCGTGTGGCAGGTGGCCCGAAACCTCCACAGGCGCGCACAGTGGCTCCGCAAGAGACAAAAAGCAGTTGCTGCTCCGCGTGCTCCTGCTGCTGCGGCTACTGCCTCCTGCTCCTGCTCCGGCTTCTGGCGCTGCTGTTGATGCTGCTCCTACTCCCGCCTCTACTCCTGCTCCTCCTCTGCGTCCTCTTCCTCCACCTCCTACTAGTACGACGGCTACTACTCAACCTCTACTGTTGCTTCTCCTGCTGAAGGAAGGACGTGCACTATCAAGTAAATCTTGCATATTTGCGCAGGATTGGTTTGGATTTTTGCAACATGAAACCCAGAGCCTTCTCCGAAGCATGTTTTCCAATACTTCTTCCCGGCGGGCGGTCTCCTGAGAGCCAGCCACAAAGCTCTCTCAAGTCAGGGCAGTACAAAGCAGCAAACTTTCTGGTATTACCAAGTGCCGATGATGAAACGAGTGCATACCATGAGCACAACTTATGTGGCGCATGAAAAGCAGGTTGTAAACTCTAAAGTTTGCGACGGCGGACCCTGAAGCGCAACTCTGGAAGCCGAAAATTCTAAGTCCCAAATCCTAAACCCTAGAATTTAGAAGCCCGGCACTCTCCCGTTCGTCCGAACCCCAGCCTCAGGCCGCAAAGTCCTTGAAGCCTTGCAAGAATCGTCAACCACAGCAAAAACCCTAAACCCTAAGCCTGCCC